TGGATAGACAGAGGCCACTACTTTGAGGCTCCAGGCCCCCAAAGTACAAATTCCTGTTTGTGTGGACCCCTATGTACAAACATTGGTGGGTGAGCCCCTGTGCATGAATTTAAGCCGGAGGACTTGGGATATGGGCTAGCATGCAGATTCATGTGACAGACTGGGCATGTGAGCTCAGGTATGTGGAACAAGGTGCCTGTGCCTGTGGGCCCTGGCTTCCCTGGGCAGCTATTTGGGGCCCACACCAATGCAGCTATTTGTGTCCCTCCTTCACTGAGCTTGTTGTGGTTCTGTGGCCACCATAATAACACCAAAAGAAAGCCATGATGGAGTTCAAGCCAGCTGCTTCCATCCCACTGGTGTAGGCACCCACCTACACCACTCACCTCCCCATAGCCTGCCTGGGACCCAGGAAGCAAGGAGCAGTGAGGATATAGCACATGGTTCATAATGAGTTTCCTGAGCAGTTTTCCCAGGAATCAGTGGCACGGTGGCCTGAGGACCACAAAGACATGGTCTTCAAACCCAGAGCCCTGCCAGATAGTCCTGGTGGTGGACCAGGGGCTTATAGACTGAAAGCTGGTGGACCAGTTGCCCCAGGCACGGCATGTCTGGGTGGGGGAAGGCGCTCAGTATATGGTGAAGGGGTCCAAGGTCTGGAGGAGAACACCAGTGCTTTAGCCCACTGGCCCCTGCAGGTGGTTCTCTCTGGGATCTTCCCAAATCACAACCCAGGTGTAGAGTGCACAAGCAGGTAAGGGACTGGCCCCAGGCCAGCAGGGGTGGCAGCTGTCCCAGCAGTGCCCTAATGAGCGGCCTTCTCAGTTCACCTGCTCCTGTCCAGTCCCCACCTGCCTGAGCCTTCTAATTGCTGAAGCCAGTGGGCACTGCCTGCCACCCAGATGGGGGTCAGGAATGGAGGGGGTGCCCCAGGAGCATCACCTAAGGGGGTTGGGGCCTGGGGGAAATGGCAGTACCAGATCCAAGGGTTTGGAGGCCACATCTGATCCAGAGTCTGGGGACTGCAGGGGTGAAGGCCAGGCGACCTTCTGGGGTGTGCTCAAGAGCCAGACTCCTGGAGTACAGCCTGGCCTTTTTGATTGTCTGTACCCTGGAACAAGTCAATTAGCCACTCTATGTCTCAGTATTCCCCACCTGTAAAATAGGAGCACGTGGATGAACCGATACTCTTAAAGCCTGAGTATCCTGCCTTATACTGACAAACCTTTAATAAATGCCAGCAGCCGCCTTGTCCAGGCTCCTCTGCCAATTACTGATATCCTGTGCTCCCCTGAGGTGCAGCCAGGCCCTCCCTTCCTCCTCCCCCACATCTGTTCCTCACTGCACCCCAGCTGGAATAGCAGCTTTGTAGTAATAACTGGACCCTAGGAGAGAGGTAGGGAATAGGGATGTTGGTGTGTGGAGCCCCATTGCTCCCCTGTCTAGAACAGATCCTCACTCTTAGAGGGAGGGGGTGCTTGGCCGCAGGGGTTTAGATTCTGAGTAGCTGGAAGCCTCCAAACCAAGGAATAGTGACTCTAACCCATGCTGTGCCATATTCTCCTCCCAGGTGGGGGTGGGACTGCCTGCAGTGCTGTGATCAACCGGGTCTCTCTTCCAGGTCTGCAGAGACAATGAGTAAGGGGCCTGGTACCTGCAAGGTGTCTTCAGACTCTTGGCTTAGGGACCCTTGTCAATGACCCCATAACCCCTGCTAGTGTGGGGAGGGAAGACTTGATACAAAATCTGTAATGAAAGATGGCCTTAAAATAAGTCTGAGCAGGTATGGGGGATTCTAGGAAGCATCAAGGTGTCTACTTAATAGGGGGAGTTCAGATTGGCTGGGTTGATTCTACCCAAATGAGAGACAGACACTTCTCCAAGTCCAGTCTGGGCAGAGCCCCAGGAGTGTTTCCTGTTGGATCCGCTAACCCTTCTCTGAGCTTTCTATGACCCTCCCCCCAGCACCCATGCAATGCCCTGGTTCAGGGGGTTTTCATTAATTCCACTCTGAGAATGACAAGGGCACACCTCTGGGTAGATGGCTTTTGAGCCTCAAATTGCCACAGGTGTCCCTAGTACCTGTGTCTTCCAATAGTCACATCAGTCTCTGGCCTCACTGGGCATGTGACACCCCTGTGGGTTTGCTTTACCCACTATCCCCAGGATGAAGAACTCTGACTCTCTGAACAGCCAAGGCATCCTACAGCTCTCGTGAGTCCTCCAACACCAGGGAATTGGCATTTCTTTGTGACTCCGGCCCACATGAGAGCCTGGGGAGTGTGGGGACAGTGTCCTGGGGGTGCAGAGGAGGTTCAAATTCTGCCCACTGGGCTCTACTCCCTCAACCTCCAGCCAACAGAGCTCCCTGGTTCTGAAGGAGGAGTGGGTCTCACAGATCTTGACATCTGGTGAGTCCTTGACCTGGAGGCTGAGAGCTGGGGAGCCACAAGGGCCACACAGGTGGGGGTGACAGAGGAGGCTCAGCTGCAGCCCAGCACTGGAGAGAATTTCAGGGCTAATGTCCCTCACCCATGGGATCCACACTGCTAGTGCTTGGCAGCAGGCCCCCCCACACTTGTTCCCTTCCTCCCCTCTTTCCCATCTCTTCTTTTTCAGTGGGGAGCCGAATTAATGGCTCACCAAAGTCAAAGTGGTTGGCACAGTCTTCTCCTGCCCCCAATAGAAGCCCAGTTACTGGCCTGAGGTATCCCAGCAGCCTCAACCCCCCTCAAAGATCAAGACCACCCTCCCAGAGCAGCCACCTGCCACTCACAGCCAAAATGTGTTGTGTGTGCCTGCGTGTTCTTCTGCAGTGTTGCTGTATGTATGTGTGTGTGTGTGGGGGGGGCTTGGGTCTCTCACGTGGCTTTTGAGGTCCCCAGCTGGGCACAGCTTAGGTGGCCAGCTGGGGGTGGGGGAACCCAGCCTGGCTGGACACAGCTCCTCCTTCCTTCCAGGCCCAGGTCTGACTTTCAGGGGCACGCGTTTTCAGGCCATTCGTGGGGTCCAGAGACCAAAACAGGGTCTGTCCTTCTCCTTGACTGGAAAGGCCGAAAGTCTTTAATTTCTGCCCAGAATCTGGATCCTAGTGGAGCGAGAAGATTGGTGGCCCCGGCAAAAAGCACAGAGGCTGAAGGGCGGCAAGTGAGAGCCCTCGGCCCTCTGTTCCCAGCACTTGACACTGTGCAGTTCAAGGCCAGGGTGGGCGGTGGGAGAGGGTCGTAGAAAGCTGGAGAAGGGTTAGCGGATCCCGCAGGAAACACTCCCGGGGCTGTGCGGGAGGCGCTGGGGCTCCGCCGGACCAGGGCTATCCGCAGCTGAAGCCAAGGAAACCCGTGGGACCGGGCGGTGACCAGAGACCAGTCTGAGCAGAAAGAAAGAAAATTTGAGCAGAAAACACCCAAAAGCCAGAGCACCGCTCTTGCCCCCAAAGACGCAAAGTTCTGGGCTCCGGGGAAGTAATTTTCACTTTTCAACTAATTTAATACCCAACTGAAGGGGAAGGGGATTTTGGGTTAGGCGTTAGAAACAAAAATAAGGACAAGAAAGTTGTGGAAAACACCAGACGGATGTGCTCAAAAACGAATGTGGGGAGGACTAACCAGCTCATCTGTCCAGGTGTTAAGCCAGCGGAGTAACCCCAGATCACGCCCCAAGGGACCGCGCCCCCAAAGCCCCTTCGGCGCCACCCCACGCCTCCTACTCACACGGATGGAAGCTCCCGATTCACTTATATTTTATTTAAAATCTCAACACTCGATCATTTATTTCGTTTTTGCAACCAAACGAGTAATAAATATTATTTAGCACTTTGTTTTTACAAAAATAAAACACATGATACACTCTCTGGGAGGGGCAGCGCGGTCAGAGCAGGAAAGTCACCCGGGGACTCTACGGCCGGCAAGGCCCAGCAGGCAACGCCGGGCTGCTCCCAGGATGCAGGAAGCACGTGGAGTTTACCATTTGTGTTAAATGTGGGAAAAAGAAACCAAAATAGAGAGAGGAAAGCAGGCTTAGACTCCGGTGAGGCTGGCAGTCAGGAGCAAACGCCCTAGCATCGCGCACTTACCTCATCATTGATATTATATTCACACGTTCAAAATTTATTTCCAAGAAAGAAATTCTTAAAAAGCCGACAGAACCCCCAAATAACCCAAGCTGTATTCACAGCAACTTCCTTTTAATTCTGTCAAGTCCTCAGGTACCAAAATGACTCCTCCCAATTGAGTAAAAAAATTAAATCAGAGACGGAAAGAATGGAGGGGGGTACTTTGTATTTTAAAATAATAACTAAAAAACGCCCACCCCTCAGATCGGCAGTTTTAGTTATCCCAATCCACAAGTGGTTCCACTCTGAGCGTCTTTAAAGCTTGCTCAGGAACATCCACAGATTTATTAGAAAACCACAAACCCAATCAACGGGAGAGACAGTAAGGAATGCAACAGTTTTGGAGGGCGACGGTTTACCCAGATTCCGAGACTGGATACCACCATAAGTGCTTCTGGTACCGAACGACAGCTTCCCACTAAGTTGTCGCCAGGCCAGGGACGACCCTCCAGGGCGAGGCCCGGCGGTCGCTTCTGCAGTCGCCCCTCCTCCCCAATCTCGGTCTCCTGCTGGTCAAGAGAGGAGGAAGGAGAGGACGTCCTAATTGTGCCTCTCTTCCAACCTCCCGCCGGCGAGGTGCTGCCCGGCTGAGTCTGGAAGTCCAGCAGGTGCTCGTGGGGGAAACCACAGTTTTTAGAATCTCTTCTGAGCCGGGGTGGAGGAGCGGGTAAGTTCGAGCTAGGGAAGCACATAGCGGTACCGTTTTGTAAAATAGTGTCTGCTGGACCCGCGCAGTTTAGAGCCTCGAGGGCTCAATCAGATGCCGGGAGCGAACACCCCCCATACTACTACTCTATGCGCACCTTCCTAGCTCTGGTTCCCAGGTTCTGGAGTCCCCACCATTTCCTACTCCCAGTCCAAAGTCCTGTGCCCCTTCCTCCAGACAGAGCTTTCGAGCCCGGACGCCTGCCACTCTCCGTTTCCCCGAGGCCTCCCCAGCTCCCCGCTCGCCTGAACCCGCCGTCGCCGGTCGGCTCACTTGGCGTCGGAAGTGAGGCGGGGCAGGCTGCCCGCGCCCATGGCCGACACGTGGTGGTGTGGCGGTGGCACCTGGCACATGCTGCAGGGACAGGGCATACCTCCCCAGTGCTGGAAGCCCCCGCTACCCCCGCTGCCACCGCCCCCGCCCCCGAGCGGGGCGGCCGCGGCTGCAGACGGAGACTTTAGCAGGCTGTGCGGAGGCCGAATGGATCCGACCGACGACAGCCCGGAGCCAGGCAAAGAGGCGCTGGACACCGCAGCGGCCGCAGCGGCAGCAGCGGCGGCAGCAGCTGCGGGCGGCAGGATGGGGTGGTGCACTGCCGGGTGGTGCGCGGCGTGCGCGGCCGCGGGGTGCGCGGTGGTGGCGGGCAGCGGCGCGGAGTGAGCCAGGCCGCCACAGGCCGACGGGTGGAAGCCAGCATGGTGGCCGCCATAGATCTCGCTCACCAGTCGTTTCATCTCCTCCAGTGAGTTGGTGAGCATGAGGATGTAGTTGCGCGCCAGTAGTAGCGTGGCGATCTTGGAGAGCTTGCGCACCGACGGGCCGTGCGCGTATGGCATGACCTCGCGCAGGCCGTCCATGGCTATGTTGAGGTCGTGCATGCGCTTGCGCTCGCGGCTGTTGATTTTGAGGCGCAGCTGCTGCAGCTCCGGCTCAGTCATCTGCTTCTTGTCCTTCTTGGTGGACGATGCGGCCGCCGACGACGTGGACGATGAGGTGCTGGATGACGATGACTTGAAGCCTCCGCTTCCCAGCTTGTCCCCAGAGTGCGCTCCCGCTGAGCCCATGGCGCCGCGCAGCTCCGCGCTTAGCTCCGGCGGGCAGTCGCTTGGCGTGGACGAGGACACTGTGGCCCCGGTAAAGCCGCCGCCGCTGCTGCTCTTGCTCCGAGCAGGTAGAAAAAGGTCATCGGGTTCCGGCGACGACGGGCGGCTGGACACCAGGCTGGCGTCCGAGTCCATGGCCCCAGGGGAAGATAGTCGCGACTTTTGCAGGGTCCTCCTTTATTTGGTCCCCAGAACTTTCAGGGAAAGAGGGAAAAGGAGAGAGAAAGACAGAGAGAGAGAGACTTTAATGACAGAGAGAGACTTTAATGACAGAAAAATTGTTCCCGCCGGCACCGCAGCGCGGAGTCCAGGTAGAGGCGGAGGATCGCTCCCAGTCACCCTCGCCGCTATCTCTGGCCTTCCTTCTAGCTGCACGCAGGTACCCATATTTAATCTCTCTCTTTTCCTCCCCCCTCCACGTCCCCTCTGCTCTCATCCAACAGGTTGTTTTATTTCGGGGAACCTTGGGTGACTCTGAGAGAGGGTGGCATTGTAGCGGTTTTGTGCCTACAGTTGGGAATGGAAAAGCTGGACCTCTGGGACGGGAATAAACGAGTGGCAAGTGAGGGTTTTTCTTCACAAAGCGTGGAGATCTAAAGAGAGAACTGTTTATTTGGTTCCTCAAACTCATCCACCTTATCTCCATCGACAACGCAGCAAACACACGCGCACACACACGCACCCAGCACTGGCGCGGGGCCATGTGCTGCGTCCAGGGGGCTCAGCGAGTCACCAGCTGCTCGGACTTGTCGCTTTGGGGCGAGGGAAATGCAGCGGTCAGTGTGGGGAGGGCAGAGCAGCAAAGCCCCTCGGGAATCCCAGCCAGCAAGGGAAGGATTCAGAGCCCCTCTACCGGAGCATCCTAGGTCAGGTCACAGCCGAGTTGGGGGCGTCTGTCCCTGGGATCTAGGCTGGGGCTGCTGGAGGGCGGACACACTTACTGTGGATGCGTTTCAAGTAGCTCTCTCCAAAAAGCCTCAACGGAGACTCTGGCACCCGGCAATGGTGTCGCGTCGGTCTATAATAAGCATCCGCACCTTTCTGGGCTCTGCCGGTTTTTATAGCCGGGTGGCGGCGGCGACAGCGGCAGCGGTTGCCGGGGCGGGGGCGGGGAACAATGTGCTGTCCTGGAGGGGCAGTAGCGCCAATGAGTTGGGCCGGCCCGGGGGGCTGGGAAGCTGATGTCATCCGGGCTAATTCCGCTCAATGAAACTCTCGGAGCGGGGCACACGCCTCCTCCTGCAAGCACACAACCAATGGGCGCGCGAGGCCAGGAGATTCTTGGGGAGGGACTGGAGGAGGGACCTGCAGAGGCAGAGTGAGAGGCTGGCAAGGAAGGAGGGAGAGCGCGCAGGGCAGGGACAGGAGACCGAGCGCGCTTGGGTCTGAGCGAAAAAGGGAACGCAGTCAAATTTCTGTAAAATACGGTCACCTCAGAGGCTGGAGATGGGGGGTAAGGAGGAGGATGGGATAGGGTAGGCTGGGGACAATGCAGGCAAACTAATCTGATACCCAAGGCTGCCAGATCTTTCGGGATGAGCGTGGATTGCCCTGGCGGCCCAGGAATGGGGCTGTAGTGTCCTCCCTAGATCTTCTGTCTTTCTAATTTCCCGCCTCCTGTTTCCATCTCCTGCGTTTCATCAACACGTGGGTGTTTGGGACCCTAAACGTATACAATAACTAGACACAAAGCCCTCAATTCTTCGCGCTCTTAGGGCGCATCTAGGAGGTGGCAGCAGCCGCAGCTCTGCAGGCGGCGGGTAGCGCCCCCAGCTGGGGGCAGGGCCTTGCCAGGCAGAGGGCAGTCGAGAAGGAAACCGACTTTGCCGTGCAGTGTTTTGAAAGAAATCACAACTCTTCATTAAGGGGAGGTTCGTGTAGGCCCAGGGACAAGTTATTTCAGTAGCCGCACTGACACGACAGAGTTGTGCTTGGAGTTAATACATTTATTGGCAGGGCGGCCTGATGATAACATTTTTTAGCATTATCTTTGTGATCTGCGCCCAACCTTGGGGTAGAATACAACGCAGGTTGTTTGCAAAATGAAATCTCGGATCTGGTCAAAGGCTTCTCCATGCTGTGGGACAGACAGCGAGAACGAACCCATGGCGACTGAGTTCGGGCACGGATCCCGTTTTACTGATGGCTGTCTCCATCTCAAATCTGGAAACTCTTGACCATGAGGAGTTAAGCCTGTTATGGATAAAAGACCTACTGAGGTAATTTAAAAGTATCTACGCATTCACCCATTTTACTGTTGGGAAAACCTAGACATTGTAGAAAAAAAAAATCACACTGCTAAACCTTTACAGAGCAGTGGTACTTGGACAGGAGACAAGGCGGTTCCTCACACAGAGGCTGTCTGTCTTCCCAACTCCTCACTTTTCCCCTGAGCTGAATTTCTCACATCCATACATGTAGAATGCAGAAATTTGTTTCTGCGGGTCTGGGATGCTAGCTTTCACTGCCCGCACGTGCGCGCGCACACGCGCCCAGTCCTCTCCCAGGCAGCGTTGGAATACTCTGGTTACTTCCCTTGTTTGGGAACTTTTAATGTGCTTGTAAGATCTTTAAAAAAAGGAAACACATAAACAATAGCAATTGGTCTTCAAGCAGCAAAGTTACAAAATAAATAAATGCAAACAGAAACTAGTGTTATTGCCCCAAGTTGGGGTGGTGGTGGTGGTGTCTCTTTGCCGTCTGTGCGGGGAGACCAGTCCACGCTCGCCTGGTCCCGTCTTGGGCCTTCTGGAGCATTATTTTTCAACCGCGAATTTCCCAGCTGGCTCTGCAGCCATCCGTTAAATATGTATTTAAAGCATGAAGAACTGAAGCGTGGTGATATGTGGTCCAACGGCTACAAAGATGACCTGTAACCGTTCAATTAGTACAATATGTCTACAGACTAAAGCTGGGAGCGCGGGCGGGGATCAGCAAGAGATCCAACGTTTGACGATCGCTCCTTTGGGCCTACTCCGCCAATGGCGGTGAGGCCGTGTGTGAAGGTGCGTGCCGTGGAGCCCCTAGCCCAGGCGCGGAGTTGTGCGCCTGCCTGCCACTGTATCTAATAAACAACAGCAGGCGCGACGTGCGCGCGCCTGGGTTGCTGCGGCTGAGGCTAGTCCAGCTGCCGGCACGTGTCCCGGAACCCGGGATCCTTCTTTTGTTGCTTCCTGCTGGTGTCTGTCCAGCGTCCAGCCTGCGTCGGAGGCAGTGCTGGGTCTGAGGTTCTTTACACTCTTGTTCCAATGACTGGAGTTGGGGCTAGGGTGAAAGTCTAGGGGCCTGACCCGGCACAGCGCGAGTCTACAGCCTGGAAGACGAAGTCCGAAGGCAGAAGAGCTGGCGGGCACTCCAGGTTCCCTCGTGGACGCCCCCAATAACTGTCCAAGCCCTAGTTCGGTGGAGCCGAAGCTGCGTCAGCGGTTCTGGGGCTGTGCAGCGGCACCTCGTGGTCCTTGCTCCCCACATCCGGAACTGGGGCTGGCGGCTCTAGGCTGCGGGCTCTTTCGTCCCCCCCGCCGCCTCCCCCCACCCATCTCCTCCCTCAGCCAAACAGTAGCTTGGGAGGTGGGAGCAGTCTGTGACTCCTGGGCTTCTTTACCCGGGAGCGAATGGGACACTGAGCTCCTCTCCCAGGGTCTCTAATATCCCCACCTCCTGTGAATAATCGGAAACTAGAGCTGATCTACCTGCTTCTGCCCTTGCTTGTCCTGGAGGCGTCCCCAGCACTTCTCCGGGTCCTGCGCCTGGCGCCGGATGTGAACGTCCTGGGCAGGTACCGGGGCAAGGCGGTCCTCAGCAGCGCATGCTGCTGGGCCGCAGCCCCTTCCCAGGGAATTGAGCGCTCGCTTGCCAAGGCTGATCCGCCCCGCTTAGGAGTTTCTGGCTAGCTTCGGCGTCCTGGGGCTGTTGGCCTCCTCTGTCAAAGCGGGCGACCTGTTTTTCCTTCTCCTTTGTGTTTCCTTCCCACAAAAGGCGGGTGCGCGTCGGGCCGGCCTTTTCTGGGTCTCCTGGTGGGCCGGGGAGAAGCCTACGCCAAACCCGCCCCGGCGGGCTCACACAGGGTTCCAGGGCGCAGACCTCCCACTGCTTCCCGGGTCGCTCCCCGGCCTTTCTTTCTGGTTCTCTTCCTTTCCTTCTCCGAGTTCCTGCTTACATTCAGGCCGCGTCTTGGCCCGGCTGCCAAGAAGAGCAACGTCCTTGCGCAGAGCTGACCAGGGGTGGCGGTGGGAGACAAGGCTCCCGACACCGCAAGGAAAAGGAAGCAGTTCAGCCCAGCTCCTGGTCGGAAACCAAGAGGGATGTGGAATGACAACTTTTGGCGCCGAAACGTGTGCGACATGACCTCTCAGAAGTCAGAACTCTGCAAACAAATGGTTTGTCTTCCTGACAGAACTCAGCTCCAGGAATCGTTCAAGGTCATGCCAGTATCCCCGACCCCAAAGCAGAGTACAGGTTCTGTCGCTTGGCAAGTGTCTGGTAAATACTTCTGGATGCTCTCACGCACAAATGTGCACGCAGACATGTATGGAATATGGCTCGTAAAATACATGTAAATGTGGGCAAAGGTGTGGTCTGTGTTTATTTGGTGTACACAATAGTGAGGTCTATGATCTGGATTTCAGGGTGTACAGGGGCCTTTAGAATGATCTGTTGACTTTCATCTCATGACAGCTCTGATCACTTAAGACGACCTAAATTGTGCAAGGAACTAAGTGAGTCTTGAAAGATTTCATTTTATTTTAATCTCTCACTGGCTGTGGAAGGGAGATATCATTCCCATTTTACAGATGGGGAAAGTGACACTCAGTTGCCCAAGGTCCTGCAAACAGAGGAGCAGTTCCAGGGAGATGGCCTTGGATTGGTAAAGTGGATTTCTAGAAGCTACCTGAAGCCTCCAAGGGTGACACCTGCCCCTTGCAATTTCTGTAGTCTGCTAATCATCTGTTTGACGGACCTCAGGTGCTGTGAATCCAAGACCCCTGGCTCTGCCTGGCTTAGACTTGGGTGTCAGCAGAGGCTGAGAGGAACACCAGGAGACCCAAGTGAGGGGTGCTGTCCTGGAAGCTAGAAGAAATCAACAAACAAAAGAGCAACCTAAAAAAACCCCAAGCTAATCACCACTCATCCCCAGAAAACCCCTTCCTTTCTGTGAAGCAGGAGTGACAGCCACCATTGAGGTTAAGTGCCCCCCAGCCTGCAGTGGTATGACATTGGGACAAAAATGAGGGGTGCCACAATCTATTATTGACCTCACCTTAAGATTCGTTATCTCAATCTTTGCAGCAGCCCCTTTGAGGTTAGGAGGAAGACTCATTGTTCCCTTTTTACAGATGAAGATCCTGAAGCTCAGAGGCCAAGGCAGGTTCAATCTCTAGCCCACCAGATCCCACCACCCTCCCCTTCTCCCCTCCTTTGCTCCTCTCCCATCCAGAAGGCACTAGGCACATACTATTGCTTTGAGCCCTACTGCACCTCCGGGGCCCTGAGGTCTCCACTTCTCTGGGGGCCACCCCTTTCTTCAAGTGGGGATTAATCCAGAGAGTGAGGAGTCAGTGCGAATAGCTCTGGGAGACCTGTGAGGGTGTCCCTGGCCGGGTGCAGTCCTGAGGTGGAGGTGGGGGCGCACCATTCGTTATAAGGCTGACCCGGAAACTTCTACCCGCTGGGTCGGGCTATTGAGGACCCTGGGCGGCGGGGACAGCAGGCCTTTGATCGCTGGAGACTTTAGATTATGAACAGATGACAAGATGTGATTACTCTCAGAGACAGGGTTGTGTCACATGCGGAGGGCGTAGAACCTCTCACCTCGGCATCCAGAACGCTGGGCGGATCGCCTGGCTTGCAATCTGTGGAGGGGAGCGACCGTTTATGTAACCACTGTGCATATAAGTGGCTGCAAGATATTTCCCCCATTGCCTTCAGGATCACATTCAAGCCCTTTAACGACCTACCGGGTCCGGACCTGGGTCGTGCCACACCCCGGTGGACGCTGCTCTTTCCCATCTTCGCCACGCCCCCCCCCGCCCCCGGCCCCTCACACCTCCCAGATCCATCCCGCATCTGCGTGTGTGTGAGTTCTGGCGTTCAGAATTCAGTCTGGCAAGGCCCCTCTGTGCC